TGTCCTCCAGCCATACCCAAGAGGTTGATTGGGATCTGGGCGATGGCGGATGCAGCTGAGGTCTTCTCGGACCGCACCGAGGCCAGCATCAAGCCAAAGGCCCCAGGCAGCAGCGCGGCGCCCAGCATGTTGAAGACCCAAAAGGTGGAAACTGCTAGCCAGAAGTTCGTCGAGAAGCAGGCCGCGACGCCAAAGACCATGGCCAGCAGAGCACCTGGGTCCGAGCCACTTTGGGGCAGAGAGCAGAGTCTTTGAGGGAAAACCAAGCCTGGCCTGTGGCGAGCAGCTTCAGCGTGGATCGCCCGGCCGCTCCCTTGTAGCCCCCGATGCTGTCGACGGCCCCTCCTCCCAAGAAGACCCCAAAGGTTGGAGCCGTAAGGGTGATGACGGCCACCAAGGTGACCACGAGACTGTGCACCTGGGCACAGGCTTCGACCTCAGAGCCGAGCCCGGAAACCTCCCTGAGCTCCTTGAGGCGTATCTGCTCCATGTAGGGAGTCGCCCAGAACTGCAGGCCGCCAGACACAAAGAAAAGCGAAGACACGCAGAAGGCCATCAAGGCATAGACAGGAAGGTTCTGAACGTTCTGCTGGGCGGAAGCAGGACGATGCGTTGACATCAGGCGGACCTCGGGGTCCTCCGCCTCCGCCAGCTCAACTTCTCTGGCGTCTGCCCAGTCCGCTTGGTCCACGAAGCTTCCGGACGGGACCGACACGAAGGAGAGCCGCACCTGAGATCCGGATCGGTGTCTCGAAGCGGCGCTGCCGATGAACTCCGAGGCAGCGCACGCGAGGCAGGCAAACGTTGCCGCAAACCAGACCAGGTTCACGCAGAAGACCGTCACCCAGTCCTCCGAGTAGCCTGAAAAAAGCAATGCTGCAGAACTCGTTCGAGAAACGACTCTTCTGCACAAAGAAGGTCCGGATCCGTGCCTGCGACGGTGTAGCCGACGACGAGGCCCACGAGGGAGCTGGCCTGCGCGATGTCTGGGTTTCTAGCATGTGCTCTCAAGTGGCACACGAAGGGCCTGCATGGCACCAAGCCAGGATGCCGCCTGATCCTTCGGCGCATGCAGATCCACCCAGACGCTCCCGTACATGGCGATCCCGGCGTGGCAGATCCCGGAGATGGCCCTTGGAGGCTCAGCTCCCCCCCCCCCTATCCCAGCGACGGCTGCTTTTTCAACTTTGACTCCAAGAAGCCGCGAAACGACAAAGAGAGCGAAGGCGGAATCGCCAGACTCGTGCATCTTCGGGCCCATGACCAGACCAAAGACCCCGAGCATGTTGCCGACCTCAGGATGCAACAGTCGATACGCGTAATCAAAGCACCCCTTGCATCCGAAGGCTGGGAGTCTGCAAGGTGCTGAGGGCGGCGCTAGACAGACCAGGAGAACGATCTTCACTTTCAGGCACTTCAGGAGGCAGGGAATCAACGGGGAGGCGATGGGTAGGAGAACGTACTCCTCGGATAGAACCACGA